GAAACTGGGGTGTCGACCGCATGATCAACAATGGTGGATGGACGGAGATGACGATGCCATCTTGTGTCGCTCCGGGCCAATATCTCCTCAGGGCTGAACTCATCGCCCTACACAGCGCGAGCTCGACCGGCGGTGCGCAATTCTACATGGGATGCGCGCAGATCAATGTCTCGGGATCTGGGTCGAAGACTGGCAGTACCGTCAGCTTCCCTGGTGCATACAGGGCGGACGATGCGGGCATCAAGCTCAGCATCTACAACGCCCAGGGTCAGCCCAAGGGCAACGGAACGCCTTACAAGATTCCTGGTCCGGCGAAGCTCCAATGCTAGAGTAATAGCACGTCAACCCAGAAAAAAACTGAACACCGTGGAGCCTACATTGCCACAAAGTTTTCTAGTTTGCTCATTTTACCCTGATGTATTCTGCAGGCCTGTTCGAGTTTTTTTCTTGTACGAGGTGATAGAAGACGCTGAGTGATTTGGATGGGCGTGCGCAGTCGGAGGTAATTCTTGGGCTTTGGGGCTTTTCGCGAGCATCTTTACGACCTTCTATGTACATACTGTAAGGGTAAGATTGGGGGATAAAACGCTGGTGGCCGAGTAGCAATATCCAATCAATGTGTCGCCGAGAACAAAATTGGTATGCGATGGTGATGTGACATGTCGTTACAGTCATGCGCTCGTGCCTGGGCTGTGCAATGTACGGGCTCGTCGCACAACGGTGAACGGTGAGCGAGCCTTGCAGGTACCCCGCTTCAGGCGCGTCCACGAAGGAAAATGCAAAAGCACAAAGAGATAGAGTTAATACCTAGGTAGAAGTTTGAAACAGTTATAACTATGTCTAAGCAGTATGCATCTAAAAGTCTTGCGCTTCGAGCAGCATTGTGAGCAGCGTTGCATTCGCGGTAGTCTATGAACGTAAGACGATGTATGATTGTGACGATGGTTTCTTGTGCCGCATTCCACCGGTAGATGGGCGGTTAGCGGACATGGTCGTGGGTGGGCGCCGGCCCCACCACCCAACAAAATTCTGCGTTTGAAGAACCACTTAGCCAATGAATGAAGTCGTTCATTCGGACGTGTCTGGTAGTCTAGACAAGTCCAGGTGAGGTTGTCTTTGCCCCGCTCGGGCTCCATTTGCCCAAGTAAGTCTCCAGTGACCAATTTTTGAACAAGGATATAATTCTTGCTGCTGGACTATCTTCCATCAATCATCACAACCACAGGAGTCGTGCCAGAGTGGTTAATGGGTATGACTCGAATAAGCTGTTCGTTTAGAGCGGCTTGAATAGATATCATATGCCTTCGGGCGCGCAGGGTAAGAAATCACTTCTCCACAACTACACATCCACAAGACAGGCAACTAACAATTTTCGCGCAGTTCGAATCCTGCCGGCTTCGCTTCTTTTTGCCCTTTCATACTATCCCGTAAGGTGTCCTGAAGGGTAGGAATCATTGTGGTGGAGATAAAGGGGAGAATTGAGACTTTTTGCGCACAAAACCACCATTTCTTGACCGATTTTGAATCTGAGACATGCAAACTCTTCTACAATACGAATACATTCATTCCAGCACAAATTAATGCTCATACCTAGGTGTGGGGGTAAAACACAATTTTTGGTCATGTGAGACTTGGAGGGCTCACAGACCCCACTTCGGCCGTCGCACGCAGTGCGCAACTTCAATCCTTCCACAACGTTCAAACACAGCCATCAATCTTTGCGCTCCGCTAATGCTCTAGGATTTTGATGCGCATCGTCTTCTCTTTGCCTCAGGCCATCGCATGTTGATTTTCAGACTCCGTTGTGTACGCCCGGTTCCTCCAGAGGGACCTCGGGAGATCGGCATTCATGTGCTACTCACGAGCTCCTCGCCGGGTGCGTCAACACAACAACGCATGCTTTGATCTTTATCGAAAGGGAGGACGACGCGACGCACGAGTGGTACAGTAGGCCTGCTTGGATCGCTCGCTGACGAAGTCATTGCAACACGCTTGAGGAGACATACGCGCGTGTTGAGCGAGGCAGGTGATCTTAGCACAGGCTTGCGACCTACGGGGAGAGTGCAACTGTCGCAAACTTTGCCAACGGCGAAGCCTCTTACCTACAGTAAGCTGCTCATAGCGGGGGCCTAAGACATAGAACACCCTGTACCCGACAGACTTACCACGACCCTCGTTTTGGGTGATGTACCGCCATTGCTAGTTACAGCCGGTGCATCATCAAACATCTCGGTAATTTTGTATGAAGGGAATATGATTGCATTATGCTAACAAGACCAAGGGAATGAACAAGCAGACGACACCCACAGAAACCATCCCGAGGTCAGCTTCGTATAATTTTCTTGTGTGGGCAGATGCCACTTTGCTAGCGTACATAATTTCCGTACCTTGGCCGCGGCAACAGTTGAGTGAGGTATTCAGCCCTACATCTTCTCGCAACAGTAATCAATATATAAGTACTGAAGTGGTCCAGCAGAACAATCGACATGTTGCTTCTTGCAATTCCCCCAAGTCGCTAGATTGTATGCAACAGACGTGACGGTCATGTCATCGTCTTCGCAGAAAACCTTGGCGCCATGAAGGAAAGTTCTAGGCTGACAATATCCGTCATCCTGGAACATGTTCTCGATATCGGCTTGGTCGCAGTTGCCTTCTCCAAAGACGACACCCTGTGTCGCCCCGCACTCAGTCGACATGTTGCTAGAGATACAAGTCAGCTCGTAGTCTCGCCCAGGCACCCTGGCGATTGGGATGGATAAGGACGAACTTGACGATCAAACAGCTCTGTACGGTACCAACACCAACTTGGCCGTCTGGACAGCCTGCGCCCATGATCGAACGAATGAAGAGCACAATGGCCCCAGTAGCGGCGAGCTTCATGCTGTTTGCGTCGCGTCTGGTTGTCGACTATTTCCCAAAGAACGATGTGCTCTTACAGGATTGAAAGTCTCGAAAGCGAATTCAGATGTATGGATAGTATGAAGATGAAAGTTCTTGAGAAGTGGGAAGGTAGTTTGCAAGACTCACCGCATCAACTGTCGCCTGATATATGATCCTCTGGAATTCCTTACGGCCGTATGGCTTCACAGCAGTGATCTTGTTGGGCCAGTCGGTGAACGAGGTCGTGCAGGAGAGACACGCCATACCTAGTGTCGACATGGGCGTCATCCAGCCAGATGATCCAGTCTCCAGGCGATCTTCGCCCATCGCTCGAAGCGTATATTGCTCCACGAGCGGCGCCCAAGCATCATTCAATTGCGAGCTGACGAGAGAAGGTATAGACAAGCTGGTTCGCCAACATGCTTAGCCGCCTAGCGAGATGCTTGACCCATACGCTCTGTCAGATCGGCTGACTCTAAGATATGGATATGACCAAATGAATAAGCCCTCACTCGGATTACTAGCCAACCACCTCTGTCGCATCACGGCACCTCTACCTAGCGCCTTGACTTGTCAAAATCTTCATCAACACTGCCCAGCCATGATCTCATTGCTTATTAAGAACAGATCCGAAAAGGAACAATGGAGCACAGCTGATACCGGCAGGCCTGTATACTCACCAAAAGCTTCGGAATGCATGTAAGAGGTCCGATCAGACATCCTAATGCTGTCAGATCTGGATGCCATTACCCTCGCCTAATACCTCTCACCGATGGCTCTGGAGTAGACAAAGGAGGCCCGATCAGAGGGCCTGACATCGCTGGATCTGATTACCATCCCTTCTGTCCCATGTCTCTCGTCAGTTGCTCCGGAGTGAATATAAGAGAAGTCTGAGCAGACATCCCGATGCCACCGGAGTTGAGCACTGGGAGTAGCTACAATTCGTGTCGCATTACGACAAAAAGCCCAAAGTACTATTGAGAATATTTTTAGGTGGACGTATACATCAACTTCAGAACTACCAGGTTGTTAACTTTCACGAGTCTGTATGCAGCAAACGCGAGACAAATCCTAGCCACCCATGGTGGGTGTCATCGCTCCTACCTCCTGCCTCTTACCGAAACCACAGATTGGATACCATCAACAAGCGCCAACCACACCTCACCAACGCCACATCCTCCTTCTACCGTCTTCAGTGTCTCACCTCCGCACTTCTCGCTTTTAGTGTATAGCCCCCGCAGCCTTCGTCTGTCTGGCAGGCCCGCAGCCGCTTACTACCACAGTCTCTTATTGCTGCAGCGTTCGTCTCTTCTTTCTTGTATTACTACGTTTGTGGCAACCGTGCTGCGCGTGTTTGCAATTTGTGATATCTTATAGAGACAACCTCTTTCGAGTCACACCCATTAAACTACTCTGGCACAGTGTCTTGTCTTTTATTGATGAATGTAAGTCTGTTATAACATTATATATCTGTGGCGCGGCTACTGCTAGCCTTGAGCTTACTAGTACAAGTGGGGAAGCTAGCGCGGGAACATTTACAAATTCGAATTGTACTGCTAGAGTACATAGTCGGGCTACAATAACAGCGCTCCTTCCTCGTGCATTATACTATTTACTAACTAGATGCTAGAGTAAATAGTTAGCCCACGATAACAGCGCTCCTTCCTCATGCACAGCACTCCAGCAAACAACATCAAAGCTATCGCAATCATACCGTATACCAAAGTACTATCTTAATAACCAGCACGAACCAGGACCAAAGGCGCACTCTATTCGTTCTCATGCCTCACGGTTCTAGCTAACTAGACCTCGGGATGCTGAGGTAAATACTCAGGCCACGATGACAGCGCACCTTCCACGTGCCTCGCGGGTCTCACCAACTAGACCTCAGGATGCTGAGGTAAACCTCAGGATGCGGAGGTAAATGGTTGGGCTCGATGACAGCGCTCCTTCCTCATGCCTCATGGGTCTGACCAACCAAGCCTCACCAAGCTCTCACTTCCTTTCAACGCCCCCGCTCCCTCGCTCCCTCGATCACACGTCCGACAGTTAATCATCACCAAGCTCTCACTTCCCATCAACGCCCCCGCTCCATCGCTCCCTCAATCACACGTCCGACAATGCCACCAAAGAAGAAGCCTGCTCAAACACCCGCTCAAACACCTGCCCAAACACCCGCTCGGACACCTGCTCGGACATCTGCTCGGACACCTGCTCGAACACCGCGTCAGCAGAGCAACACATTGACGCCTACCGAAGTTTACGACGAGGAAGAGAACGACTTTAGCATCAACGTCCATGCCAGTCTTATGGAAGACGACGAGATCAGCAGCGGAGATGAAGATATCGCAGCCAATATCCCACAGGGATGTGCCGTTAGCGACGACGATCTACTTGATGACCTGAGCCCTACCGACATCGAGGCGCTCGTCCAGCGGCTTCTTCCTGGCATTTGCCAGCAAGGTAAGCTACACGTACTCGTACAAGATGTGATGTACTCCGGCATACTGACTTTATGCTTGCAGATGTCCAAGACTTCCTAGCCCAGATTACTACACACAATTCGCCGCCCTTTACCATACCACGCCACGAGCGAGAGCCTAAGAGCTGGCCCTCGACGTACGAAGAGTCGGACCTGTTGTGGGAAGAGGGAGCCAAGGCTGAGCGAGCAATCAAGCTACCTGTCGGAACCAATATGCCGAAGTGGTTGGACACGTCAGAGGATCAGCTAGGTAAGTTTTCTTTGGTACTTGGGATCTAAAAGGCGGCTGAACTAACTGTACCCTTGCAGTCAAGTACACAGGGAGCATCCAAGACAGCCTGGTTCTAATCACATCGTATCCAACAGTACGCGTTGGCAGTACGGTGCACGCCTCCTACGGGACGACGATGGACCTCTCTAATATAGCGATGTTAATGCTTTACGCGAAGTTGGGACTGCACCTAAAGTCATTCCGACCGACCGGCGCCCTCCACATCAACGCTTTCCCGCGTCGCGTCAACAGAAAGACTGTGCCAACAGGCCAAAAGATTTTGGAGAAGCTTCCGGCTGTCCTACGGAACTACTGGCAGTGTGTCGCGCAAGAATGGCTGGCAAGATCGCAGGCAAAGATCGCCCTACTTGTCGGAGCGGCTGCAGTCACTACCTATCTGTCATATCTAGACGTGAACGATGTTCAGCACCAGCAAATATGGTTGGCTGATGGCAACAATGTAAGCTATAACTGTATGAACTGCACATGAGACACATACTGACTTCGTACTTCTATAGGAGTACCAATCAAGCAAGACACCACCGTGTTGGATCGAATACAACAAGGACAACAATATCAAACGCATCGCATTCTCAGTTCCGCACCCTGAGTATTTCAACCGTTACCGCGGCACTGTAGTCACCCACACGATGAGAGCTAATGCGCTTAAAGAGCGTTTCATTGATTACGCGATGGTGAAGGTCTGGGGTACGGCACACCTGCAAGGCTTTCTTAGCTCGACAAAGTACCGATTTCAGACCACAACGGGTATCATCCTGCGCATGTCTGATTTCGAGAACTACGGCGCAGACAACACCACACTTCGCAAGATTCTCAGTATCCCCAACTTAAGCAACGCCACCCTTAACGTCCTCCTCACCGGCTACAAGAAGATAAGCAAAGAGGAGGTTGAAGGGATCAAGGCGATGCGGAGGGCCATGGACGTCGAACTCACGGAGAAGTCATCATACTGGGATGGAGCGGACGTCGTCTCGAAGTACGGCCACCACGCATTCACGTTCAAATTGATCGCAGAGCGGCGGGAGGGGCCGAGGGAATCTACCAAGCCCAAGACGCAACCCCTTGCATTATCGCTGTATGAAATTGAAGGACACCCCTTCCTCAAAAGATATAACACCACGGTTTCGGACCTTCTCGCGAAGGAAGATATCAAAAAGCAGAAAGCGTGCGCGCGGAGGAGGAAGAGGAGAGCAGTTGAGATGGAGGGTGAGGACAAAGAGAACGCCGAGGACAGCTATCAAACACCGAACTTGACGCCTTTGAGAAAGAGAGTCGCAAGCATTTAAACTCATCTCCATCATACTTGGTACCGGCCAAAGTACGCGACTCGACAGATTAGCCATCAACGTATGATGACACGGATATGGTCTGGCGACATCCGCATGTTGGGGAAAAGGCAGTTACGCTAAGGAAGACCCCAGTTTGGCTCACCATGGGAGAAGAGAATCTGGAGAAGCCTGTAGGCTCTCTACGCGACAGTCTCACGATGATATCGTCATACCCTACTACCGATAGAAACAGTACTATTTATTATCGACAAGGAATCAGCCTGGACTTGTCCAATCTCTACCTACTGCTACTCTTCGCTGAAATTAGTCTGTATCTACCATCTCTCTGACAAAACAGAGCCTTGCACGTGCATATAATGCCTCGTCGTATCGACCGGAAGCGGGTAACCAGCGGTACGACTCCGAGTCCCCAGTGGGATAGCTTGAACACGATGAGCAAACACAGACTGTGAGACGGCTCAGTCTAGCGGTATACCAAGCCGAGTCCTTTGACAGAGATCGAAGTGTTCCTGTCACCAATAAGAAGCATCAGTTCGCCATTCAGGAGAGGCTTATCGATGGAGCGATATATCGAGGCAGTGAACCAGGCGCTTCTTTATAGCGGTGCCACGCATCTCGTTACCCAGACAGCGATAACTGATCCTCTGATTCGGTCGAAGTACTGGGGATGCGCGACGGAGAAAGAGACGCGCGTCATATGGTCTATTTGCTCTATTGTTGTACATTCAATCCACCTCGTGGGCACCTCCGCTTGATAGTACTCGGAGGTGTGCGGTCATATAGCCCGGTAGGGTAGGTGGTGCTTCTCTTCCTAGGTAGGTGCTTTATATAGACATCAACCCCTGCGTGTCCGATAGTAAGACCGACCTTAAGCCCTCGTCACCTATTACCAGGTTACGACCAAGTCGTCTTAGTATGACGTCAAGATGTAGTGACCTGCGTTGCTGAGAGTGAGCGAGATCTACGGGTGTATTCTGACTTTCGCACATAGAGCGAGCATAGACAAGTCGAGCGTCTTGCTATACTCGTGACGAAAGGTGTTGTTCGGGGGAGCAGTGAGGTGTGGTGAAACGATTAGTATGTTATCCTTGACGCTTCCTGCGAACTCGACGTGTGTTTTCACCGGCATGTCGAGTCTGGACGGCAGGTCGATACCGGCGAGGAGCTGAACAACCTGTTCTCCTTGCACAGCCATATCACAAAGTCTGTCTATTCCATCATTGAAAGAACGTTAGGTAGTTAGCTGTCTGCCCTAGGATAAGATGAGGAAGAGCGAACAAAGCTCTGCGTATGAGCGAATCTCTACATGAAAGCTTTCCTGACTGGACAACACAAGGTGTATACGCTCTATGATTGTACTCAACTCATCGAATGATAGCTCACCAAACAACCATTTATCTGTAATAGGCCATCAATATGTGGTGTCGTTGTCGGGAACCTTCATCACTGGTTCAGCTGTCGTCAACGTCGCTTGTGACTACAACGGGGCTTTCCTTCCCCTAATCTCAGCCATAGCAAGTCTTGGAGTATACAGTATAGTCTACCGTACTAGTCCGTCACCGTAAATCCTAGCGAACACCTCCAGGGTACAACTTCAAGCCTAGCTTCGACCCAGCGAACTTTCTGGTAGCGAACAATACCAAACATCTAGAAAGCTCGGATTCGCGTTTCCAATTCCCAAAATGCCTACCACATAATGCCGCGCCTTCAGTTTTGTTTCAGACCCCAGGACACATCAAAGCAGCGAAGGAAAAAGAAAACCCACCGAATCCTCACCTCGGCTTTACAAGAGAGCCACAATATGCACGAGAGAGTCAGTATCAACCGCAACGGCATCAACGGCATAACGAACCCTCCCTCTCAGCCCACAAACGCCCAGATGCCATGACCTTCGCACATGCTCTCCAAATGCCGAAGCCCTTCATTTCCCAGAACATGTAACAAACGCACCGACGCACACAATCCCCGTTGCAAGGCCAAAGCAAGTGCGAGAACAAAAAAGCACGCATGTCAAAACATCAAGACAAACCGACCCTTCTTTCCCTTCTCTGGTCGGGAAATTTGTCGATACCCTCGGGGAGATCACGGGTCCGCACTCTCAGCCTCACGGCGACAGCGAAAGGGAAACGAGCAAGGACGGAGGAGGGGTGGTGAAACAAGAAGGGAGGCCGAAATCGCCGAAGTCTTTCCCCACCTTTTGCCGTACCCAGCCACTTGGACTACGGGCACCTCGGAGTCGGCTCTTTCACGAGGCAATTTCACGCATCGAAGTGCGGAGAAAAAAGGCGGTCAAGTTCGTCTGGGTCACTTTGGTTTCAATCTTGCCTTGGGTAACATTGCGCTGCGTTGTAGGTGCGTTTCAATCTCAATTCGCGTGACCTCGAGCCTTTCTCGAAAAGGGTGGTGATTAACTGGGTGATCGACGCAAAAGTATGGGGAGGGGAAGGGAGATGGTTCTTCATTGGTGGCAGTTGTACAGCGCTTTAATGGTGATGTGCAAGGCTGAGGCTGAAAATGTTGGGCTAGTGTGGCTAGGGGAGGCTGGGGCATCGCGAGGGCTCGCGTGACACACAACCATGTGCAATAACTGGTGCACAGAGCTTGAATAGCATGGTATGTTGATGACGTTGGTTGTGTGGCTGTGGGGATAATGCTCGTAATGGCGGTTAGTCACCAAGTTTATAGGAGTATTTGCAAGTCTGCTTTGAGTGTCACAGTAGACATATCATGTAATGTGACTGATTTTGATTGGCGGAGGTGGTAGATAGAGTAGCTAGAAAATGGGGGGTGCTTGTTGGCAGGGTGGCTACATGGCGACAGGCAAGAGGAGCACACATGGGGATAGGGAGCGGCAGGACAGGAACTAATGCCCTCAGGTAAAGGAATGGCTTGGACGAAATTACCGTCCGTAAACAAAGAACAAAGACAAGAGAGCGACCGTGGTGCTCTTGTGCGCCGGATGGAGTTATAAGTGACCCATTCAATTGCCCGGTATCTAACACCCCACAAACGCCCAGTTGAGGAAACAAGAAAAGGTTGGATATAACACAAGAGAGGTGAAAAGATTCTTCGGTGCAGCCGCCACAAATCTTTCTTTATCCTCGTCAAATGCTGGTCTGCACAACGGTATGGTGGTTCCGTCGTGTACTGAATAGTAACGGGCTAAATCGCAAGATGATTCTTACTCTCGTCGTCAAAGCGTGATTGCGCGCACCGTGGTGCGAGACATGGTAGTGAAGGAGATTAGGTAGTTGCGTAGTCAGGGTATGGAGGTGTTCGTCAGCGACGCCAGTCGTGAGAGAGGGTCGACGTGAAGAGCGCACGTGTTGCGCCAATTGCCCTGTTTGAGGCACTTATACGTTGGTAACCTAATGGAGTGTCAGTGAGTGGCGTTTCGTCAGGCGGCATCGTGGATCGCATACCTTCAATATCCGCCTCGAGTAGTCCTCGTTGTCTGCAATACTGCCGTTGCTCTGCCTCCGGTCGACGAAGCTCGGGTCCAGACGCGAGTCGTTCATGGACGAGTTGCTGGTGTGTAGCTTGCCGCCGTTGACGAAAGCATTCACGTTCGCGGCATTGCGACGGTAGTCTTCTTCTGCTTGGTGCTGACGTCTCCGGCGGAGCAAGAACCATACACCGAACATGATCGAGGCAAGGGCTAGTATGCCGACGACTACGCCCACTGCGATGGCGATTGTGTTTGGTTTGCTGTCTTCTTCGGGCGCCGCAGATGGAGTGGCCGAAGCCTGGGCGGCACCGGTTGATGTCGGAGCAGCAGACGACGGCTTTGGTGCTACTGAGCTGCTGCTCTCTACTTCGGGCTCGTAAAAGTCGACTGGGTTCCTAGTTGTTCCGGTGAGAACGACCCATAATTTGTCCTTTCCACCACCTAAGCGCTGTCAGTCGGGAGCGAGATAAGGGAAGGTTGTCAGCTTACAGGTCCATGTCTTGTCGCCGCTACACGTGGTGCCACATGTCTCGTTCTTGATCTGCCACTCTTTGGCGGGAATCTCGTCACCACACCAGCATTCCTCGCCGTTCGACAGACCCATAACGGGCTTGTTTTGCTCAATGCAAACGAGTTGACAGTTACCAGGCGACTGGAAGTTGAAAGAGCCGTGATTCTCGAGTGGGATTCCGGTCTCGAAGCAACCGATGCTCACCATGGCACTTGCTCCTAAGGTCTTTGTTGGTGTGGTGATAGGGTCCGTAACGGTCGCCCATGTTGGCGTTGGCTTCTCTTCCGCAGCGGCCATCATGACCATCGAGGCCGCGGCCAGGGCGGAGGCGAGTCTGATGTAGACCATTGTGGTGATGTGCTTGGTTAGTTAGTGGTGCGCGTTGGTCGGCGGTGACAGCGTGTCGCACGGAGGGCTATATGCAGAGGCGTCGACACATGCAAGGCCCTGTGGGCGTGGATAGGTCGGGCGGTCCGAGTCGGCGGCGGTGGTGATGGTGGTGAGAGAGCGAGCTGTTGGGGTTCGGCGTGGATGTAAGGCTGAGTGGATATGGGGATGGCGGCGGAGATGGAGTCGTCGACAGGCGCGATGGACTGGGACTGGAGGCTCGATCAACGATGCCCAGGGCCGTCTGGTGGTGTTGAAACGGGGGGCGTCGTGGCAGAAGTCGAGGCGATGAAACTTGTCGGCTGCCCCTTGGAGAGAACCCCCGTAGAGTGACGCAAAAGGAATGAATCGACGGGAGATGGGTTCTGGGTAAAGAGAGTGTAGTGATGCGATAAAACGATTGTGGGTGTCGACGATTGACAACGTGAAGCAGACAAACGAGAGGAGGCTCGGGCCCTGAGAGTGGATCGCAGTGAAGAGAGGACAGGAGAGTGCGCCCCAGTTAGGACAGGCAGGCATGCAGCCAGGAGCAGGAGCCAGCCTTGGCAATTAGCCTGTGCCTGCGTCTGACTGCCGCCATCTTTAGCCCACCCGCCCTGTAACTTTGGACAGCGCATGCCTCTAAATTGCAGCGCGTCCTCCAGCTCCCCTCGCATCTCCTGCGCCAAAGTCTATCCTCGCGGTCTTCACAGCTGCCTTTACGGCATGCACCCAGGGCCTCGTGTGCGCGACAGCCTGTCACGACGTCGGCCCAGCTGGGCAAGGCGCCGGCCCACTAGTGCCAGGAACAGCGCCGCCATTGGCCGCACGCTGTTTCATGCCTGCCGGGGGGCGGCAGGGGTGGTCGCAGGCTAACCCAGGACCGCGCGGTCAGGCACTAAAGCGACTCAAGCGCTCGGCCAGAGGGTGTCGCTGACGTTGCGATACTCAGGACGCGCACGATGCTTTTTTGCGATGGATGCCAGGTCGAGAACGTTCTCGCGCTCCACTACTGCGCTGTTGGGACTGCCTACCATCGTGGAAGGCGGGAGTGGGACGCGGCCACGGTCGAGTCGCGTCTCCCATGTGGAATCTCATTTAACTAACATCCGGAATCTGGAGCATCGAAGCCGTTGTCCGCTCTATCCGAAATGCGAACACCACAGTCCAGACATGCGCGGCCCGACACAATCGCGATGAAAGTTTAAAAATGTGAGGTGAGCATAGCGGAGGTTGCACCCACTCTGGCCCGAGAAAAAGCAACATGCACGACATCTGCATCGTGATTAAGCGGCCAGTATCTCAACAGTGACCGTTGTGCCTCTCCATACAGCGCCACATACACAGAACCTCCAACGGCTGAGTTAGACACATGTCAAAATGCTTGGGTGACCTGAGACACGAGCGGGACGCAGCCGCATCGTGCAAGCTCGTCCTAAGATTCATGCTCGTGTCAAGATTCCCCAGGTTTGTAGCAAGTCGCGCCAAGTCGCCGCCGGACTGCAGTGCTACCGGATTCCAAGGCCCCTCCGATTTCGTGATAATGCGCTTAGTCACCCGTGTCACGTGCATCTCCCACTTCCCGATCGGGACGCGTGCTCAGCATCGAACCAAGCTTCACCAGGGCCTCCGATGACCAGCCACGCTTAATGCGCCGTCCGCCCGTTGCCTGTCGCCGAGCAGTGCAATCTCTCCAGTCTTCCTCCTCCCAGCACATATGGATCTCTGACGACCTCCTCACCGGCGCCCTCAATCGATTTTTCCCCAGTTCGTGCCCGCAACAGAAGCGCCATGGCAGCCACGTTCCGGGGCCATTGGAGGCCAGGAGGAGGGCAGCAAAGCGCCGAATGACTGTCTCAGCGGGCTTCTATCCTCAGGGAAACTTTGCGCCACTGTTCAATCTCGGTGCGCTTTTTGGCTTCCGCAAAGATGATCCGCCCACTTGGAGATACGAAGCACCGTCTTTACAAACCCATGCAGAGCCATTGACTTCGCGTACGTTGCGCAGCGCATTCTCCACATACACTCAGCTAATATCGACAGCAGCTCAGCATGTTCCAAGTTTACCAATAACGCAACCCGACCGTACATCCACGGAGCACGCAGCTTCGACGACTACCGCTGCTGCATTCGGTGCCCCATACCCTTTCTCGCAGAACACTTCGCAAGATGAACCGCAGAAACATCTGAGCAGACCAGGGGAATGCACAGTCGATGCGCTGGATCCTGAGGCGCATTTTGACGACTTCAAGACAAAGATCGCAAACGCTGGAACTATGTCCAGTACCGAACGCGGCCGATTACTACATCAGAGCTGGATATCATGTCGCCCAGCCACCAATATCGATTGGGTCTACAACGTCATGGTAGTCAAGCATCTGACCGAAAACCGCTGGGATCACACACGCATCCTTTCAAGCCTCAAGTTTTTCAATTTACCTCCCACGTACACACCCGAGAGTCTCGACCTCCTCAAGTGTCTGGAAACGTCTGGCGCGTATCTACCGCATGCCTCCCGTGTCCACCGCCGCGTATATTCCAAGATGATAGAAGCCGCTACATCAGCTGCAGATTCAACAAGCTCATTACAGGATACCCAACTACTCACACTGATCCGGTCAGCCCTTCGCAGCTGTTCCTACGTTACTGAAGCCGGCCAAAGTGCTGTAGGCGATCTTTGCTTACTTGCGGACAAGATCGCGGCTTCGAACTTGAGAAAGGTGATACGTTCTTTGCTGGCCGATTTCGACAACGCAGAAAAAGTCATCATGTTGATGATTGCACGCGCATCTCACGATTATCTCCACGCTGTCGAGGAAATACTTTTCTTCCTGCCTGAAGAACGACTCCAGTCGCTAGTTTCATCGGTGACTCTGTCCCTCATACAAGGCGTCAGGAAGACACGATTGTCGGCTGAGACGTACTGGCACTGTGCGCGTGCGTGGATGACAGTCCTTGGAAACCTTGACGCCCGATTCGATGCAACCCGTTCCAATAGCACCTACACACAAATCGCCTTCACCGAGGTGGCTGAGGGTGTATTCAAGAGCGAACGTACGGGTACTAAGCGGCCACTTCTATTACTCTATGCTCTCGCGTTCCGTACGGCACAGCAGCCAGGCTATGGTGTGTACAAGGACAGTTGGTTACAGTGCGTACACGCCTACGCGGCCTCTGCACTGAAGCAGCAAGGCATACTGAGAATGGAAGACGAAGTGATAAAGGTCTTTAAGCACATGCGGAAGGCTTCCATTCCGTATGGGCCGATGATGAGTATGGCTGTCCAAACATTCACATCCCACGCCAGCCTTCGGTCTCTGCGCCGATTTCAATACCTTGTACAAAAGTATCGATTTCCACTACATAACACAGAGGCCATACAAACCCGTCTCGCCGCTGAGTTGCCCACTCTCCGACAGCAACCAAACCTGCAGACAGTCCAGGAGCGCGAACAGCACGCCTCCACATTACGTGCATGCCAATACATCTCCGATTCTCTTAACAAATTCGCCGGACCAGCGATCTCGACTACGCTTGTCAGCGATCAAGAAGAGATGGAAACTCTACAGGCCCGTCGGGAATTTGTCGCAATTCTGGAACGCGCCTCGGACTACCATGCGCTGCCGCCAGCCTACGCCAACCTCACTGCTGACATACCGTTCTCTCAGCGCACTGCGCTTGTCCATCAATTAGCTCATCATTACTCTATCGCTACTACCCGTTCACATAAGGCAACCTGGCGCTCCATCTACCAACTATACAACTATCTTGAGTCGCATTCCCTGCCAATCGGTCCTCTGTTTACCAAAGCTGTAGTCCGAGCTGCTATTATCCGGCCTATGATGGAGTACAGGTTCGTCAGTGCAAGGGCATTGATTTGGGTGTGCCAAATCGTTGCCAGGGTTGAAGGTGAAAAAGTAGCAAGGCAGATTGAAGGTGCTTTTCATCGCTGGAGAGGTGACCTGATCAAGCATGCTAAGGAGGTTCATGATGCTGCTGGTGGTGATCGGGGTGCGAAGGCCAATGTGGGAAGGTTAAAACAGTTGAATCTATTGGGATCCAAGGAGGATTAGAACCTGTTGTGGAATAAAAGCCTAGTTGATTACATATACCCCGTAGAAAGCACGTTGTTACAGACGACGGAGATGCGCTTGGTGCTTCTGGCGGCATCCAACGCGAAACTACACAGTTATGTCCTGTGCACTTGGATTTGACGAAGATCAGACTTCGGCTTAGATAATGAAAGTAGCCATTTAATTAGTGTAGGAAGCACATCGTTGGGGGGTCGGCTGCTGATGCTCACGAGATCAAAACCTTGGAAATATGCCCCACTTCGTCATGACTTTCATTGGGCCACTATTCTCCCCTCCTCCCATCCTTCATTGTCGCGCTGATCAACGCTGAGTACGACAACATCCTATGCAGATATCATGCGATGCGCTGAGTACTAATCTTGGAGTCCGAGATTTCGCGTTTCCGCTTGCACCGACGTCATCGGACGGGCCTTGGAACACATCTTCACGAACAACGCATTCGACTTGGATCATGCCTGTAATGCGCAAAAGCACGAAGACATCAACTTTCCAGACTTCTTTCTGGTGATATTATATTGGACGTCATCGGATTGTCGTCATCGCTCGATACAAAGCAGTCTTCCCTCCACGCAAACGCGAGATTAACTGCATCTGAGTGCCTATTTACAGCACCTAAACAGCGACTCACAGTTGAAGCGATCCGCTAGCGCCTTGTGTCGATATGGACCGAACTATCTCCCCACCTAGGCCTACTATTGAACAACTACGACATGTCGTCAACAACTATCCCATCATCGACAATCATGCCCACAACCTCATTTTACCTCACCAGGCCGATACAATTCCCTTTGAAACCATAACCACGGAAGCTCAAGGAAGAGCTTTGCGAGACACCTTCAAATCACTGCCCCATTTACGAGCAGCTAAGCAGCTGCGCCGACTTTACGA